GCCCCCTGCCCCAGAACCCTGTCCCCCACCCTCCTACCCCCATTCCTTCTCCTCTGCCTCCATACACAGAACTGTGCCCCTGTCCGTCCCCGCTGAAACCTCCCCCCACCCCGGCACCCTGCCTCCCGCTGCAGAAACTTGTCCCCTGCTGGCACCCTGTCCCCAAGTGCAGAACCCCACCCCCACTGGCACCCTTCCCCAGTACCATGTCTCCTGCTCCCAACTGAATTTTCTGTGGGTCAGTAACCCCTGACTCAAGACAGGTTCCCTGCCCTTTTGGTAAATAAAGACAGAACCCCTGACTCAAGACAGGTTCCCTGCCCTTCTGCTAAATAAAGACAGTGCAGAAACTTTGTGTTTGACATAGTATTTTATTTAAAAATAAAGCCTGGGCAACAAATACCCAATTGGGGCCAAGCCCTCATCTGGCCACAGTCACTCCTGCTCCCTAATTGGGGTCAAGCCCCCATCTGGTCCCAGCCACTCCTGCATTCCCCCTTGCCCCATCAATGGGCCTCTTGTGGCATGATCCATCCAAATCATAACCTTTTGCCCTGCATGATTCTATTCTGGAGCCAAAATACTTCCCTGTTCTTAAATGATTTTTATTTTGAGATTGAGCCAACTATTGATATAGCTAAAATCCATAGCTACAAAAACGGGCTGAAAATTCAAACCGCTGAATAGACTTCATGCATGGCTTTCTGTTGTAGTTGAATATCTAAAGGAAAATAAACCCAGTGGCTTGTTCTCCTTAGATTCGAATAACCCCCCCTTCCCGCCTCCAACAATAGCCTCTGATTAAAAGGGAATTTTTTATTTGGTCTGAAGGAAGCTAGTACAACAAGGCTGCAGATGCTATTATTGGCATCTGTCCAGCTCTATTGTTATCCTGGGGTTTATAGTGAAACATGAACGACCAATTTGTTGGGTCTTTATATGAACCTGATTCCACAGTCCTGGTTCCGCAGCGCAGCCTATAACTACTGTGTTTTTATCAGTTTGTCCCCAGGGGATCTTGCCTCCCAAATCTTTCAAGAATCCTTCTGTTAATCTAACTCTCTCCAGGCATGTTAGCAGTTGAATTTAGCAACCAGATTTTGGCTATGGATTTCACACCTCACATAACTGCTATTGGCAGCAGCACTTTGTCATTAGCAGAGAGAGGTGCTGGGTGCTGTTCTCAACATGCTACAGTTACTGTAGAGATGGGACAAAATATAAATATAAATCTCTATTTCCAGTGGCTTATTTCTTTCAGGTTGCATTTTTTCCTGCTTGTTCTCAGCCAAGGGTGGTATGTTTTGTAAAGTTTGATTAAAAATTGGTTTGGCTGGCTTTTGAGTTATTCAAATAGGAAGAAAATGTCTTTAACACTAGACATTTTCCAAATACTTTCCCCCTCTCTCTGCCCCTGTTATAGTAACTCCAGTGAGTTCCTTGGTAGCTCCATTTTCTTCACTGATTAAGCGCCTTAGCCTTATTTGAAGCAATGTGGTTTATAAGTAAGGGAATCAGCTGAGAGTAGCACCTGGAGCATGCTCACTGTGTTACTGCCCTTTGTGGGGCAGAAGAGCCAGAGAATGCAGTGGTCTGTGCCTCTGAGAGGCGTGGGTGCACATAGGCATCAACTCTGGAGGGGAGGGTGGAAATGATGGGTGCTTAGCACTCACTGGTAGCCAGCCACCCTATTGGTGCATCACCCTGCCAGTGGCCCTGCTGATCAGCACCTGTCCTGTGACATGCTGGGGGGAAGGGTCAGGAGTGACTGCAGGGCGCACCTGGAGGAGGGGGCAGACTATTGCTTAGTACCCCAACACTGCCCCCTCCGCGAGTCAGCATCCCCTTCTCCACCTTCTGCATCCAGATTGCCTCCTGAAGTTTGCACCTCTCACCCCTTCCCACATCCAAATCCCTCATTCCCATCCCAGAGCCTACATATCCTGTCCTCAACCCAGCAAGGATATGGCCAGATTGCAGGAGTTTTTTAGGATTCTGGAGATATCCCAGAAAAACTCTTCTGCATCCAAGGATGCATTTGTTCTTCCACTTTTTTTAGCAGAAAAGCAAACATGATCTTTCAGTCACCTCTATATTCCCTCTTTCCATGAGGAATAAGGGGGCTTCCAAAAGAAGGGGGTTTTCTGACATTTGGTCCAGTCTAGACAGGCCAAATATTGGGAAAACCTCTTCCTACAGAAGAATTGTGTGTGTGCAGAAGCAGCAGCAGTATAAGGATTGGGGATAGCAAATGATGGAGAGGAGGAGAATAGAGAGGGCGGGGCTTCAAGGAAGGGGTGGGGTGGTAGGTCTTGGCTTGGTCTGTCATTTAAAAAGTGATCTTGCGTGTAGAAAGGTTGGAGATCACTGGAGTAGGGGGAAGCACCAGAAGGGTGAAAATCAGGGTGACCCTAGAACTCTGTTACAGACCAGCTGGTGGCTGCTGAAGGAGGAGGGAAAAATAGGGGGAAGGGTTGGAGAGGAAGGGGCTTGTGCTGAGGGGAGGGGGGCAGGTCAGGAGAAGAAAGGGGAAGGCACTAAGGGCCAGGGTGGAGGAGAGAGACAAATGCTAGGGGGCCAAGTGGAGACAATGAGAAAAAGAGGTGGTGCCAGGATAATGCTGGGAGAGGAGAGAGGAAGGGCTTTGGAGGCTAGAGGGGAGAAAGGGAGGTGCTGGGAGAAGGCTTGAAAGAAAGGATGGGCATAAGGAAGGCGGGGATGGAGCAAGGCACATGTGAGGGCACAGGGGCATGAAGGGAACAGGAGTAGAGGGTGGTAAGGGGGTGGGCATCAGGGAAAAAGGAGGCAGGGGCAGTGAGGAAAGGGGGAGGCACCAGGAGGGTGCAGGGCTAAGGGAAGGTGCAAGTACCAGGAGATTCTGGAGGTGAAGCAGAAGGGCAGACACCTGCAGGGGAGGGACAAGCACCAGAGGACAGAGGCAGGGCAGGTGTGTAGAGGGAGGTGTTAGAAGAGGGGATGACGTAGGGTAGCTCACATGATCAGAGTGGGCACGGGGAGGAGGAAGAAGGGCTGGTGGAGAGGGGCAGATTTGACAGGAAGAGGCAGAATGAGGCAGGGAATGGATGGGAGTTTGGGGGAAGAGTGGAGTGGGGGTAGGGCCTGGGGCAGAGCTGGGGGAAGTCCCCTCCCCTCAGAACATTAGAAAGTCATTGCCTATGCAGGAGGGCTTGGTGAGTCTCCTGTCCTGGGCTTGCGGGTGCTCAGTAGTGCCATGAGCACAGCAGCATCAATTCACTCTCCACAACATCCTCCTCCATATGGTTCAATGCTGCAGCAGGGCAGAACTCAGCCCTTAATGTTGTTCCTCAAGCTTACGGTGGCTGTCACAAGCCCTCCTGGAGCACTGCCTTGAGAGAGACTGCAACCTTCTTTGTGCCTACAACCTTGTGCCTTGACAGGTACCTTGCTTGCAGTTCCCCCTCCCAAGGGTGCCAGGCAACTTCCTGAAGAAGGCTGTAAACCAAGTTGTTTTTGCTTGTAGTGAGGGAATGGGGGACACAACCAACAGCATACCCAAGTCCTCTGAACTGGACCGCCCTGTTAGGCTGCCACAGAGTTTAGCTGAACAGTTTTAACCTCCACAAGGGGAAAGTCATTTCTCCCTCAGCCTGAAACTCCACAACTGACATCTTAGTGTGCAGGACATAGAGAGGACTCAGGTGCAGGATTTGAGAGTGGCTGAACCTCCCTCCACCCTTTAACCAACAGCATACCCAAGTCCTCTGAACTGGACCGCCCTGTTAGGCTGCCACAGAGTTTAGCTGAACAGTTTTAACCTCCACAAGGGGAAAGTCATTTCTCCCTCAGCCTGAAACTCCACAACTGACATCTTAGTGTGCAGGACATAGAGAGGACTCAGGTGCAGGATTTGAGAGTGGCTGAACCTCCCTCCACCCTTTTCCTTGGATCCCCTGACCTTTTCCCACAAGGCTTGTTCTCCAACACACATTTATATCTAATCTGAGTGCTGAGTCCTTGCCGTGTATGATGGATAGAAGGAATGCTGGCCTCCTAAAGGGTTAAAATCAGGTAGCTAGTGGTGTTGTTGGCAAGGAGCCAGAAGAACCAATGGGCTACTGTGCTGAAATTTAAATTGTAAATACATACCATTTGCTCTTTTGGGGAGTTAAGCCAGGAGTTGAGACACACAGGGTGATTTAAACCCAGGCTGGATTACCATGCCTCCAAGGAATTTGGGACATGGAAGTGGACTGAACCAGGAAGGGATCATGAGTAAATAGAGGAAAACCTGTATTTAGTCGCAATTAGGATATTTTTCTTTATTTTTGGGTTTGGTTTGAACTTCTCTGTGTGAATCCATGCCTCCCCTCCCCCATTCACCATCTAAGAGTTGTTCCCAGAGATTTTTCTCTGTGTTTTAATTTGTAACACCTAGCAATCAAGTATGCCT